TTGCTTTAAGGAAGTTAAATTTCTTTTCATCTTTTCTCTTTAATTCACAGCCTGGCGTTACGTTTGAAAAGTTTAAAGAAAAAAAGATGAAGGCATTTGACAAAGACAAAAACAAGAAGTTCAACAAGAAGGAATTGGAAAAGATTTTAAATAGTCCGTAAAACATCATTAGCCTAAACAGAAACTGACAATATACTATTGCTTTAATATCTTCCTCTTTATAATTTACACTGTATATAATTGTTTGAGCTTCATGCTGTCTTCGTGAATACCAACTGTTTGATTCTTACCTGACGTAAATCAATCCTAAAACGCATATCGTCAATAAGGCCTTTCGGCGTGTGTGCTAAGTACGCATCAAGTGGTTGAATTCAAATGTTTTATGAAACAGCTTTAATCATCAATAAATTGAAAAATATGAACATGAATGTCAGTATTAATTGAATTCCATTTAGTTTTATTTTTGTGTGTGTGTGTAAAATCATTGGTTTTAGAGGTTGTATTTTCGCATTTTACTTCTTCGTACTATTCGGGCGTTTCATTTTTCGCCAATTCTCTTATATTTAATTTCAATGACCCAGCAGATATCAGTAAACATAATTATCAATAATAATTTGAATGTGGTTATTAAAATGGTGGGATTTAGCATCAAAGTGTAAGTATCAATTTTTACGTCTTTGATCAGTATATTCCACATACGACTGATTAATCATAATTCTCATTTTGTTCAGCCTTGAATAAATCTGCTGATGAAAACTGTCTTCTCGTGGTGGGGAATTTTATAAAAAAAAAATCATGGAAGTAGAGAAGAGAGAAGGGTCTCTCGTCAAAATAGAGTAGTACCTCGATCACGATAGCTAACAGTATTGAGGGTGGTAACACCGTCGAAGGTACACAGTGTATCAACATCACTATTCATTCAAGAATTCACTATATACGATAACCCTCTTTCGAAAGGCAGATGACAACTTTACTTCGTCTTTCGTATTATTTATAAGACAAGGAAAAGCGAGGATTGGCTGACAGTTTCATATAACTTTAATGATTACATAATTATATACCGAGGTATAAAATCAGAGGAATGTCAGTGACTTGAGCAACTACAAGTACATTTATCATACTAGAGAAAGCATGGTGAAGACTATAATTTAAACATACAAAAAGCTTAAGGTAAAAATGAAAAATGCTAAATACTAGAAAATATGAAAGGAGCATTCTCATTGAATCACCTTGTCTATCCACCTAGTTAATTTTTTAGCAGCAAGGATTTAGAAATCTGAGGAGGGCTGACAGATAATTCGTTAGATTTCGTGTTTTGCAAAGAAGATGAGGCCCTAGGAGCCCCTGATCGAGAAATCCAAAGAAGAGTCACAGTGCAAGTTTTTCCAAATTATGTGACCCTGTGAATCGCAGGACATCTGTATCCTTGACTATTTTTTCTAAATAGATTAAGACGAATTTAAAAAAGGTATGTATGTCACATAGGTTTGATAACTTCCTTTACTCCCTCTTTTGCTTTCGGAGAAAGCAGTTAATAATTTTGAATTTTTATGATATTTGCATCAGCAAATTATAAAAGGGGTTATTTTTCCCTTATGATGATGTAATTTAGAAGATAAAACGTAACTGGGAACCGGCGCTCTGGTAATTATAAATACCGGCAGGCTAACAAAAAAACTTTTTCACCTCTTACGAGCCTCTTTGTGGGCACAACGAAAAACGCCTTACCATATGACACAGCCATTCCACATTCATGGACTATGGTGGCCAGATAATATTCGTTATCTTGCCTAAAACCACACAAGATTCAATACGAAACAAATTATATATATATGTATATCATATATTGTATTATATGTTGTTTATTCATTCATGTCCGATAACATCAGTGCCAGCTCGCATCGGGAAAGTTTTCCGTTCTTGTCTCGATCACTGACTCCCAGAAGTATATCTCTCATTTTTTCCAGTTCCTGGCAACTGTCTGGTTCCTGTGGAAATAGATGAAGGCATTTGACAAAGACAAAAACAAGAAGTTCAACAAGAAGGAATTGGAAAAGATTTTAAATAGTCCGTAAAACATCATTAGCCTAAACAGAAACTGACAATATACTATTGCTTTAATATCTTCCCCGTTGTAATTTACACTGTATATAATTGTTTGAGCTTAATGCTGTCTTCGTGAATACCAACTGTTTGATTCTCACTTGACGTAAATCAATCCTAAAACGCGTGCGTGGCGGGTATCGTCAATAAGGCCTTTTGTGTGCTAAGTACGCATCAGGTAGTTGAATTCAAATGTTTTATGAAACAGCTTTAATCATCAATAAATTGTAAAATATGAACATGAATGTCAGTATTAATTGAATTCCATTTAGTTTTTTTTGGTGTGTGTGTAAAATCATTGGTTTCAGAGGTTGTATTTTCGCATTTTACTTCTTCGTAGTATTCGGGCGTTTCATTTTTCGCCAATTCTCTTATATTTAATTTCAATGACCCAGCAGATATCAGTAAACAAAATTAACAATAATAATTTGAATGTGGTTATTAAAATGGTGGGATTTAGCATCAAAGTGTAAGCATCAATTTTTACGTCTTTGATCAGTATATTCCACATACGATTGATTAATCATAATTCTCATTTTGTTCAGCCTTGAATAAATCTGCTGATGAAAACTGTCTTCTGGTGGTGGGGAATTTTATCAAAAAAAATCATTGAAGTAGAGAAGAGAGAAGGGTCTCTCGTCAAAATAGAGTAGTACCTCGATCACGATAGCTAACAGTATTGAGGGTGGTACGTAACACCGTCGAAGGTACACAGTGTATAATTCGTGGTATTTAGGCTTTAATTGAATTTGCTAGCATACGCTTGGCATAATTCTTCATTGACGAGCATAATTTTCATGTATTTTCCGAATAAGGCACTGCAAGCGTAATTTGCAGTTGTGGCTAGTTTTGTAGCTCAGCAGTCAAAATGCTCGATATTCTACTGAGTTAAATCAACATCACTATTCATTCAAGAATTCACTATATATGATAAACCTCTTTCGAAAGGCAGATGACAACTTTACTTCGTCATTCGTATTATTTATAAGACAAGGAAAAGCGAGGATTGGCTGACAGTTTCATATAACTTTAATGATTACATAATTATATACCGAGGTATAAAACCAGAGGAATGTCAGTGACTTGAGCAACTACAAGGACATTTATCATACTAGAGAAAGCATTGTGAAGACTATAATTTAAACATACAAAAAGCTTACGGTAAAAATGAAAAATGCTAAATACTAGAAAATATGAAAGGAGCATTCTCATTGAATCATCTTGTCTATCCACCTAGTTACTTTTTTAGCAGTAAGGATTTAGAAATCTGAGGAGGGCTGACAGATAATTCGTTAGATTTCGTGTTTTGCAAAGAAGGTGTGGCCCTAGGAGCCCCTGATCGAGAAATCCAAAGAAGAGTCACAGTGCAAGTTTTTCCAAATTATGTGACCCTGTGAATCGCGGGACATCTGTATACTTGACTATTTTTTCTAAATAGATTAAGACGAATTTAAAAAAAGGTATGTATGTCACATAGTTTTGATAACTTCCTTTACTCCCTCTTTTGCTTTCGGAGAAAGCAGTTAATAATTTTGAATTTTTTTGATATTTGCATCAGCAAATTAAAAAAGGGGTTGTTTTTCCCTTATGATGATGTAATTTAGAAGATAAAACTTAACTGGGAACCGGCGCTCTGGTAATTATAAATACTAGGAGGCTAACAAAAAAAATCTTTTTCACCTCTTACGAGCCTCTTTGTGGGCACTACGAAAAACGCCTTACCTTATGACACAGCCATTCCACATTCATGGACTATGGTGGCCAGATAATATTCGTTATCTTGCCTAAAACCATACAAGATTCAATACGAAACAAATTATATATATATATGTATATCATATATTGTATTATATGTTGTTTATTCATTCATATCCGATAACATCAGTGCCAGCTCGCATCGGGAAAGTTTTCCGTTCTTGTCTCGATCACTGACTCCCAGAAGTATATCTCTCATTTTTTCCAGTTCCTGGCAACTGTCTGGTTCCTGTGGAAATTTTTTTTTGGAATTGGATGAAGTAAGCAAAAAGACCAAGTCTTAAACAAATGTTTTACAACTTTGGAGCCGTTTCTGTTTCTTTCTGGATAATTTTTTACTGTTAGTGTTAAAATGCCTACAATTTAACTGTTTTATGAAACAGAGCCAAAAAATTAAGTTTTTAGTGTTATCGAGGTACCCCATTCTGACCGTCAATTACGGATACAAAGGGATGTTTAGTCAAGCAGATATTTCTTCTTTATCCATTGAGTTGAATGTAATTGGGCTATTTCTTTTTCGCAAAACGTGTTAACAGTATTTTGCCATTTTATTCAGCTCTACCAACTGAAAACAACTCAATCGTGTCCCTAACACTTCTTGCCTCCTCTCTCTTTATGGCCTTTATTCTGTTGTATTGACGTCATTTTATCGGATGCAGTAAACGTCTTTAAAGTTGGTAAACGCTTTCGTGCGAATTAGAAAGAGGATTTGAGCTAATCGAGACGAAGAATGAATAATAACATTGTGTAATACATAAATAAGAAACAACAATCAATTCTTACCAATCCCATCTTTTTCATGACGTCACGTAATAGAACTAAGAGCTCAGAACTATCAATTTCACCACTTTTGTCCTGTAAAGATATAGAAATGATTTTACTTAATTAATCATACGTATTAGGGATATGATAGTAGAAATTCAAACTACTTAAGAAAAATAATTGAACCCGGTATGACAAAAAATACGAAAGTGACGTTGTGTTTTTTAGACCGAGTACTATGGCACAGCGGTCAGAGAGCGGAAAAAATAAGGTGGAAGAGAGGAGGAGGGAGAGAAGAGGGTTCTTTAATTCTCACTCCCTGCCCCATCTGCCTCTCTGTCTCTGTTTCTCCTTGACATCTCTTTTCGCTGTTCACACGAACTGAAGGCAGTTTAATTTTGAACTTATAGTTATTAGAGAGCCTTAGATTCTGAGACGAGGAAGACTACGAGTACGAGATTTTCTCAGTACTAAGTAGTGCGCGCCCGTGAACCAGCGTCGTTTTGGCCGGAAAATGTGGTAACCGTCGTCATTCTACTACGCGTTTTAGCGAGAATGTCGTAGTGGCGGGAACAAGTTATCAAATGTAAGAAGTTTTATCATTTTGCTATCGGGTGAGGACTTATTACTTCATAGAACACGCGCAAAACGTTAAGTTAAATCTCGTACTCGTACTCGTACTCGTTCTCGTCGTCAAATCTAAAGCGACACTTTGCATACAAGCAATCACATTATCATCAAAGTTGATTTTACCGGCCTAGGATGACTAATGACCACACTTTAGGCACCACATCAACTTGTCTTCAATGCAGTATTTCAGTCCTCATACACTGTAACCAGTATCCTCTTAAGTGACAGACATTGAAGATATACGTAAATTTCTTGCTGGACGCTACTTGCTCTTTTAAGAGAATTGCTTATTACCTTATTCTCCTTTATTTTCGCGGGACTTAAATTTCGCGAAAATTTTCTCGGCACATTTCGCGAGTCTTTAATTTCGCGATCGCGGAGAAAAATTGTGTTTGCAGGGAATTTAATTTCGCGAAATTGACGATTAAGTGACTTTATTTTTTCTTTTTTACAAAAATTGTACGTTCATCAACAATTGAAGCAAAACCAATATGCTGTCCCTTAGCGGCAGCCGTATTCCTCCAAAAGTCAGTCTTACAGTAATGAAAAAAGTCTTCTTGTTCTTCCGAGTCATTATCGAGTATCGAGAGTATCGTTACATGTCCTTCCTAAGAGATCTCAATATAACCTTCAATCTCTTCAAATGGATCCTCAGGGGGAAGACTAAACGATTCCTCTAATAGTTGGGTGATGCCAGCCTTTTCCCACCCTTTAGCGATGTGACAGTTTTTAAAATTTTTAAAACTAAACTAGTGAGCAGCACTCTGCCAACTGTTGCTGTAAAACTTGTTTATTCTCCTACGCGTTTCGTCTAACTATCGTAGACTTCTTCAGGGAGTTTTACAATCAAGTACTAAACGCCTGTATTTAAGCCATTATATGACTAAAAATAATGATGGTCGCAAACCTTGAAGGTTTTTTTGCCGGATTTACGAAAAGGAACAGGCACAGCTGTGAAATTTTCACGCAAGGCGTGAGAAAACTTTGGGGCCACGGTTTTAGCTGAAATAAGTAACAAATAAGTTTTACAGCAACAGTTCGCAGAGTGCTGCTCACTAGTTTAGTTTGAAAAATTTTAAAAATTTTAAACATTAACATCTTAAGTTGATAGATGATAGCTCCTTGTACTAACACCTTGTGTTAAAAATTGTTTAGGACCCTTGAAAACACAAATACATGATTTTCTATGTCCATTAAATTTCGCCAGAGCAAAGTTCGCGGTCGTTATTTTTCGCGGGTCTTTAAGTTCGCGAATTTTTTAAAATCGCGAATTTAAGAACCCGCGAAAATTAAGGAGAATTAAGGATTTGAGCCGCAACACTGACTTGATCGGGTACGCAAGTCAAGATATACTCTTAGTACAAAAACATAAAATCGTACCGTGTCATAATGGTCAAAGATAGCATCAAAATCATCTCTTGACAAGACTTTCTTTCCCTAATGCAGAAAAAATCAGACACAGTTGAAAAGACTTAGTCAAAGATAACCTCCTCGACGCATACATTTGGTCATGATCTCAGTAACCCGCAATCAATTTTTTCTTCTTTTTTCATTATCATTATTATTTAGTCAGATCTGAATCCCGTGGGAAGAACTTCAAACTTATTCTTCAGTTAATCAGAACAGAACTAATTCATATGAGTTGTGTCAGGAAAAATCAGAAAGAACGCTAAATTTTGACAATCTTAAGGGTTAAAGCGACGACCGCGTTCATAGTTTGACAACGTCAGACGGTGCTATTGTGGCAAAGACATCTGCCTATAAAGGATGCTGCACGTTCAGAGTTCTTGTTTTGCGTAAAAAATGATGCTTTATTATTGTTATTATTATTATTATCATTATTATTATTATTATTTGCTAATGTCTTCGTTATCGTCGTCTTCGTTCCTCTAGTTAGCTAGAACGTTATCAAGCAATCGCAGTTCTCTTGATATGTGACGATTTCGTTAAAAACAGACGATTTTGTTGAAAATGCGCGAAGAAACGACGGAACTGGATCGGAATAGACTATGCATAAATGTGAACCAGCCTGCGACTTAAGTAGAAACTTGTACTTGTCCACTTACAGGAATTCCGACTAAGCGTGGTGAATCTTTAGTTTAATATGAACATGCCAGAACTTCGGCATTCCCTTTTATTTTATTCATTATCATTCTTCATCAAGGTATGTGTATAATTTCTATCTTTTCAATTTTATTAACACATTTATTCATTTTATTTATTTAGCGGCGATATACCTGGAAGTTCGCAAAAAAGTTTTCTTCCTTAGGCAGGATCCTAAAAACAGAAAAGAGGCACTGAACAATCTATTTTATATCTGTTTGTTGGTCTAGTGGTTATATATAATTATATTTCACTTAATTTTGCTATGTTTTCTTAGAATACACAGTGATGCTAAGGCTAGAATAATGTAGTTTTTATGTTGAGCTTTACATCATGATGTTGTGGGTGAATAAATAACAGTGTGCACTACGAAACAAGTATCTCACTCAAAGGAAAGTCCACGAAGCAAAAAAGCATACATTATTATACCCTTAATACTTTTGAGGGGTAAACTTCATCTTTTTCCTACATCAATTTAATAAGAAGACATATTTTCGCTTTAAAGTTTTGAAGAATTACTACATGCATATGACGTTTTGCTGCCATCAGCTAGTGAGCTTAAGTATCATCGACGCCGACGGCAACGAGAACGGCAGAAAAGCAATAGGTTTAGATTAGGGAGCTTAAGCAACAACGATGGTGAAGGCAACGAAAACTTCTCTTACAAAGTTTATTCCATCTCGTTCAATTCGTTCAATGTTGGCAATTTTTTCTGGATTTGAATTCTATCAGACTATCAAATTTCAGGGAAAGAAAAAGGAAATCGTTTTCTTGTGTTCACGTCCTCCACAAAAAGTGACATTAGGCATTTTCACGTCGTAGTCGTGCAGTGACGGCAAAAAAATGTAGAAAAATGCGTGATGCACGTGCAAAGTTGTTGTTTTGCCAATCTAAGCCTATTGCTTTTTTGACGTTCTCGTTGACGTCGCTGTCGTCGTTGCTTAATAAGCTCCCTTTTAGCAAAACAACAACTTGGCACGTGCTTCACGATTTTGTGTACATTTCTTTGCCGTCGTTGCACGACCATGACGTGGAACTGCCTAATTTCAAGTTTTCTGCAGGAAGCGAACAAAAGACACGATTTAATAAAAAAAATATATTTTTTCAAACTTAGATACAGTCCTTTAGAATTCAACTCCCGACAGTTGTCAAATTCAATGACATAAAAAATAGTAATAATAATAAAAAATAAGCCGAACGATGAATTTTGAAACGTAACAGCGTGAATTCACTTTTTAAGATACGTATTCGCCATCGTCGTCCTTGCTGATAAGCTAACTCTTCCTTTATACAAAAAAGAAGTTTGTTCCTGCGAACACTGGCAACCAAGCATTGTTTCAATGGCTTAAAATGGCATCAAGGGAAAATTCTGTAGTTAAAAAAAAGCCGAGTTTAAGAGCGTGAAGTTTAAAATAATAATTTATCGACACTTACTGGGCTAATTCCTTTAGTCCTATTTTGCCGTCCTTGTTTTCGTCATATCTATCCATCTAGCAGACGCACAAACAAAACATGACGTGTTAGATGAATAACGTAGTGCTCAGGCGAAAATCAGCTTGAATAATAAGATACGCCAGTCTTTTTCTTTGACAAATTTTCTTGCTCCAATTGTTCGTTTGGCAACTTGTTTCGAAAGGCCTAGGACCGTTCAAGATCTAACAAAACAGCAAGTACCAGAGACATTGGCCCCGATTACCAAACCAGCTGCATGCTAAAGAAAGGCGACCAACAGCATTACAAGCTTCTGAGTGCGCTTTACCTAAAAAAACCCTTAAATTTGTTACAAACCTTGGGCTTGTAAGTGTTTCTAATTATACTGAAGAAACATAACTTTAACGCAGAATATATCAGAATGTTTAGCCCTTTCTGTGATAATGAACCATTTTAGAGTGTACATGATAATTATCCGGTATATTAAGACGGAATCCACCAGGAAATTATAATTTTATGTGGACAAAAACCTTGAAGCAGAATAATTTAAAGAATATTGCATTCTTTTTTATCTTTTTCAAGCACTAAAGATGTAATAAATCATCTGTAATAACACCAAAGAAAATTTCTCATGGAAGTCCGAGAAAATGAATGTCAAATTTCACAAGAATTTTGATTACACATGTAAAATTCTGAAAATTTCATGTGTAAGATGTANTACCAAACCAGCTGCATGCTAAAGAAAGGCGACCAACAGCATTACAAGCTTCTGAGTGCGCTTTACCTAAAAAAACCCTTAAATTTGTTACAAACCTTGGGCTTGTAAGTGTTTCTAATTATACTGAAGAAACATAACTTTAACGCAGAATATATCAGAATGTTTAGCCCTTTCTGTGATAATGAACCATTTTAGAGTGTACATGATAATTATCCGGTATATTAAGGCGGAATCCACCAGGAAATTATAATTTTATGTGGACAAAAACCTTGAAGCAGAATAATTTAAAGAATATTGCATTCTTTTTTATCTTTTTCAAGCACTAAAGATGTAATAAATCATCTGTAATAACACCAAAGAAAATTTCTCATGGAAGTCCGAGAAAATGAATGTCAAATTTCACAAGAATTTTGATTACACATGTAAAATTCTGAAAATTTCATGTGTAAGATGTAATTATGTGAAATTTGACATTCACGTTCTCGGGCTCCCATAAGAAATTTTTTTTGGCGTTACTGCAGATCATTTATTACATCTTTAGCCCTTGAAAAATGTAAGAAAGAATGCAATATGCTTTAAATTGTTCTGGTACAAGATTTTTGTCCACTGAAAATCAAATTACTCAATGTCCTGGTGGATCCCGTCTTAATTTGTAAAAAAAATTGTACCATAAAAGATTTGTAGTCAGCAATTCGCTGTGGATTTAGATTATGACCACCCTGTTGCAACATGTCCTTAAGAAAGGCGTCGATCTCATCTCCTTCCAAGTAACCACTCATGTCACTATCATAATGGTTCCATATCTGCAAAGAGATGATATCAATATTGTTTTTCAATGAAAATTCACTAAAATTTAACAGAAATGGAGAACCTTGCTTTCACTTGAAAGAGTATTTGAGTACTGTACTTTCTATCTTTCTTCTCTTTCACTTCTTATTTTCTCCTTTTATTCATAGTTACTTTCTACACTGATCCAGTGACGTGGAAAAATGTAGTGTCGATCGATATAGCTAGTATTAGTGAGTGGAAAGGTTAAAAAAAAAATTGGAGGCATGCTTAAACTTTCAAGATCAGAAATAAACTGATTCTTAATGCTTTAGGTCTTGATATCGTGGATAAAAAAGCTATCAGAGATTTCGACTTGGGACACGCCTAGGGCATTCCATATCAGAAGTAAAGGGAATTAGGAGTAAACACGTCATAAGGTAAAATAGCCAATACGGAGTACGGTTAAACTATTTAGCCAAAGAACAACACAATAAAATGAGAAACTGTGATATGTGACAGTGATCGAAACGCGCCAATGACATTACGAGTGTTCATAGCCAATATTACAGCTTAACTGACAGATGACAAAAAACATGGCCACTTAATTGACCAATCAGGTCACTATACAGAGTTGAATACCATCAACTGACGGGATACAACTCAGTTTGACTCTGAAGATGACTACCGCACAGGTTATCGAAACGTGAGTCACGGTCAACAATAACAGTCCTATTAAGAGCTCTTTGTCCTATTCAGGACTTCGTTCACCTGGACGATCATACTCAACCTAGCCTACTTATGAGTTGACTCCTGGGTTCAAACCTTCACAAAAATAAAATGTTTGAGCTCTGGGGCACTTCACATTCAGCCCAAAATTCTGGAAATTTCGGTTAGAAATCAAATGGAACGGACCATTTCGGTTCGGACCGACGGGAATAATCAGCAAAGACGGCAAAGTGCAGTTAAGTGGTTACTTACCTTTATGAATTTAATGCTGTCCATTGAATCCAACTCAAATTCAGTCCGGAACTGGTTAAGGTAGTTTTCCTCTGTGGGAAGGATATTCTCAAGCTAGAAAGGACAACAAAGACTTAAATTATTACATGTGGTCATGTTTTTAAAGCAGGGACCAAATAGTCATTGCGGTCACAATGTCATGAGTAACATTTACTGGAAAATTTACTTTTTTACTTGCTTTCTCATCAACCCACCTAAATATTACCTACCTAAACCTACCTACATAACTACATCCTTTTGCTGTACAAAACAAACGTTATTGCTGGCCAGCAAAAGCCAGAGACCGCACACACTATTCTGACCACTAAGCGGGCAAGATTTTCGTGAAATGGCGTTTTTTTTTTAAGTTACAGTTGAGCAGTTATTAATTTTAATTGATAACAGACTCAGATTCAAAAATTCTCATTGTCAAAAAAATGTGTCTTGTGGTTTCGATCGCATCGCCAGGTTTGTTTCGGTTCAGTAAACACGACCTCGAATGACCTCTTTCGGGTGGATGTTGAAAATTACTTTCGGTGTTTCTTATTGTATATATTCAACTAAAGAAAAACGCGCTAAAATTCGATATAAAGAATAACTTATGACCGCTCGGGCAATACATCACGGCCTCGGTCTGATATTTCCCTGTAATAACCGAAAGAAAGAGGTTAATAAGTGGTATTTATTGCTCGGAGATAGGCCTTATAAGCAAACAAATCCTGGAAGAAATAAATCGGAAACTCGTCGACATCACAACAGTCAACCAGTGGAAGAACACATCCTCTGTGCTTCAATGGTTCAAGCAGCTGGCTAATAAAGGCGACTCGGCATTTATATGCTTTAACGTCGTAGAATTTTACCCCTCAATTACCAAAGCCCTCCTAAAACACGCCCTTGACTTCGCCTCTGAACACCTGAACATCTCAGCCAACGAACGACAAGCAGTCATCAATTCCAAGCACTCCCTGCTATTCAGCAAAGGCCAACCATGGGAAAAGAGAAATTCAGCATCAAATTTTGACGTAACCATGGGAAGCTACGACGGAGCGGAGACTTGTGAACTGGTGGGTTGTTATCTCCCGTCGCAGCTAAAGCAGATCCCTGGCATCGAAATCGGCCTTTACAGAGATGACAGGCTTGCCATACTCAATCAAACACCAAGGCAGATAGAGAGAGCAAAAGAACAAATATGCCAAATATTTGCGAACAACAACCTAAAAATCACAGTTGATGCAAACAAGAAAGTTGTTGACTTCCTAGATGTAACACTGGATTTAAACACCGGAAAATTCGAACCATACTCCAAACCATCCACCACACCCCATTAGCAATTAACCGGCGGCTATCCAGCATTTGCTCCGTACCAGGAAGCATTACGAAAGAGTGGCTGTGCTTTAAACTAGAATTCAAGCCACCACCACAGAAACCACCATCACAGAAACACAAACGACAAAGAAATGTTATATGGTTTAATCCACCATATAACAAAAGCGTCAAAACCAACATCGGACGTGCGTTCATCAGCCTCATTTAAAGATCTTTCCCAGCGGGTCACAAATTGAGGAAAATTTTCAACAGGAACACCATAAAGCTCAGCTACAGCTGCATGCCCAACGTCTAGCAAATAATAGATAGCCACAACAAAGCCATCCTGAAGATAGCAGAAACAGCGCAGACACAGAAAAACGAAGGGAACACGTGTAGCTGTAGGAAAAAAGAAGACTGCCCGCTGAACGGAGAATGCCTGGTGAGTGAAGTCGTGTACCAAGCCACAGTCACAACCGGAGACAAAAAAGAGACATACATCGGTCTCACAGCTACTCAGTTCAAGGCAAGATACAGAAACCACCTGATTTCATTTAGACATGAAAAGAGAAGGAATGAGACTGAGCTGAGCAAGCAACTGTGGCAGCTAAAGGAGGCAAATAAGGAATTTAATATCACGAGGAAAAATACTCGCCAAAGCAAAATCTTACACCAACCATACAAAACGTTGCAATCTATGTACAACAGAGAAGTTGTTTTTAATCTGTAGGCCTCACATGGCAACACTGAACAAGCGCAACGAACTTGTCTCTACAAGCAAACATCGACGCAAGTTCATCCCAAGGTACAATCGAACATGTGAAAGGCAGAGATTGTAGCGCGAGCTTTCGTGTGACTTAAGTTTCGTATAAGAGTTGTAGGCGATTGAGAGCAAGCGCGCGCTTTTCATTTTAAAGTTTCTTACAAATTTAAATTTCAAACGTTATATGTAACCGTTTTTATCACGCGATCATTTTTTTTGATGTAGACCCTGACGCTTCAGTGTTATAATGGAGTTTAACTGAAGGGTGGGTCACCTTTTCGGTGGCCTACGAAACAGGCTTGTATTAAACACCCATGCACTCAGGATTTGAGTAGTTCACCTACTGGTCTATACATATATAATATATTTTATATGTCAAAAGCTTTGCAATTAGCCTCGCTTTGCAACCAAGCTCTAAGGCATCTCGGAAACGGCCTGTTCTACCTGATTCACAATCCTTTTTTTTGCATAAAAGCGGTTGAAAAATGATTTGACTGATAATGGCCTAATGTGTTTCAGCCAAGGTTTTTAACTCAGGGAAGACGAAATCGTTACACCTAAAATTTTAGCATAAAAACAAATTAAAAATCAATTCTCTACTTTCCATTGTCAATTAAGATCATCAGTTATTGTACGTTCATTTTTCCGTAAGGTCAGTGCTGCCTTTCTAACAGAAACATCTTTCTGTTTTTATCTCTCGCGATTTCTACGAAACCAAAGCTGCTTTAATTTCCTATGAATCTAAAGGGATCGCTGAACACGGGAGATCGAATCATCGCACCAAATATCTATCGAAAGGTTTAGCGAAGGAGTTAAAGAGTCTTCAATTCAAAAGGGTAAGGCCTGTGCAATCATCCTGAATTTTTTTTTTTGACCAAATGGCGGCCATGGGGAATCATGATGGAATCCTCAAGTTATAGTCTGCTCTTTTCTCCAGCGTGAAATTAAAAAAAAAAATTATGCCGCGGTGCAAACCCAATACAGTTTAATAGTACGTAGAAGACCACCCCTCTACTTTGGTGGAGTGGTTTGGGTGTCTCAATGAACCATAGACCTATGTCGGCTGAAGTCTTTGACGATCCTGGTAGGGCCACCTATGCTGAACAGGTCTAAGAATAGAGACTACACTAAGTGCGGTCCCCTGGTCCTTCAAGTTGGGGGTTGGGGGCTGATAACCCTCTCCAGTAAAACCCTGTTGTTACAGAAAACCAGAAGCAGAGAAAATTCACATTATCAACGGAACACTGTGGCCTGTCCTCACAAAAGGAGTGACTCTATAATGCGCGGGGGCGAAAGCCAACAGGACGCCACCGAGCTGAATAGGCCACTGGTACACCCCAAAAACATCATAGAGCTCGGAAACTGGAATGTACGTACACTGTACAGAAGTGGTAACATTGCGCAGCGAACGAGAGAAATGACCAGTAGAAACATAGACATCATGGGTATTAGCGAAACACACTAGACAGGTCAGGGGAAAATGCAACAGACGGAAGGATCCGCCAATGAAAGTGATACGAATGCATGAGTTGGGACAAAGAAATGATAATGGACAGAGATTGTGCGAATTTGTGATATGAATGAGCTAGTTATCGTAGGAACAAACTTCTAACATAAGAATGTCCACAAGACAAGATGGGTATCGCCAAATAGGATAACTACGAATCAGATAAATCACGCACTAATTGATAAAAGACTTAGGAATTCAGTGAAAGACACTAGGGTTTACAGCAAGTGACCATTATCTTATATGCACAACAGTGAAATTGAGGTTGTTTAACCAACCGAAGGAAAAGGAAAGAATTAGAGTCAAGTACGATACAACCAGGCTAAATAATGAAAACATCTTGAGAACATTTAGCGTAGCCCTGACACCAGGTGCTTGAAGATGAAGGGCTAGCAGCAGAGGAAGACGAAGAAATAGAGCGTGACTTTCAAGTGATGGAGAAGGAGTACCCTGAGGTTGCAGAAAAATTTCTAGTTTGACCACGAAAGAGGAAGAAACCATGGATCAGTGACGAATCATGGAACCTTGTAGACCGAAGGGAACAAATCACTAAAAATAATCCCAAGCACACGATCAGAAAGAGTCAAAAGACAAATTAGTGCAAAGTATACAGAAAAGGACAGAGAGGTTAAGAGGAGTATAAAAGCAAATAAAAGGAACTGGATGGAGAGCATTGCAGATGAAGCAGAAGAAGCTTTAAAGAGGAAAGGCGTAAAGACACTAAATATGCGGGCTCGCAAAGATTCTGTGCAATGACAGATCTAGACAGGGCACAACGGTTCCAGACAAAAATGGAAACCTCATCGGTAGTAAAAGTGAAGTAAGGGCAAGATTGACTGCAGAAGAGATAGAAGTAAACTAGGCGAAGGCGAGGCAGCGATAAAGGGATTACAGAATGGGAAAGCACCGGGAATTGACGCCATAACAGCAGAGTTACCGAAAGCAGACAAAATTTTCAGCAGAGAAATACATCAACTGATGAAGTAAATATGACAGTATGAGAGGATCCCGAAGAGTTAGACGCGAGGGCTAATCATCAAGCAATCAAAGAAAGGAAATGCCAAGCACTGCAAGAATTGGAGAGGTATAACTTTACTATCTGTTGTGGGAAAGATGTATGCAGGATTATTATCGATAGGATAAGAAGTGGTGTCAATGACCGGTTAAGGAAAGACAGGAAGGATATAGATAAGGAAGAAGGACGACAAAACAAGTATTTATACTGCGGAGCATCATTGAGCAGGTTACCGAGTAGCAAGCAACACTATCTGAACTTCATAAAATTTAAAAATGCGTTCGACTCTATTTACCGCGAAAAAATGTGGTCAATCATGAAGGAATACGGAGTCCCATAAAAGATCATTAGAATGGTAAAAATATTCTATGAAGACTTCATGCAAGTGTGCTGTAGAAGACTAAGGAGAGATAGGCATGTGGTTTGGCATTAAAACTGGCGTCAAACAGGGATGTAACATGTCAGTTGTTTTGTTCTTGATTGTTATGGATTGGGTAACGAGAAGGACCATTGGTCGTGGTGAGAATGGTATTAGGTGGAAATTCAGATCTAAATTAGACAACCTAGACTTTGGAGATGATGTAATGCTAAACTCTTCTACCAAACAGCAGATTCAGGATAAAACAGCAAGAATTGATTACGCAGCCTGACGAGTGGATTGAGAATCAACATGAAAAAGAAAAAGGTTATGAGAATTAATGTAAAGAACCAAGAAATGATTATGATAACTGGACAAGGAATAGCAGAAGTGATGAATTCACTTACTTAGGAGCTCCAGTTAATAAGGAGGGAGGTGGTATGAAAGACCAGAAAAACGGATTCTCAAGAGTGAGGAGTGCATTTGTCAGATGAAAGAGGATCTGGCATTGCGCTCAAAATTAAGATATCCTAAGAAGAACGAAATTAAATGAGACTGCATAAAACACTGGTAAAGCCAGTTCTGCTGTACAGGTGTGAAACATGGAAAATGAAGAAGTGGGACGACAGAACAGTGGAAGTGTTTCATAACAAGTGTCTACGAAGAATCCTACAGATCCAGTGGCAGGAACATGTCAATGCTTAAGAGCTGTTAGAAAGAGCAGACATTTAACTTGAGTGAAGAGGTTAAGCAGCGTAGATGGAAGATGATGGGATATTATTACACTAAGACAGGACCAAAACGACGACTGCAGCATGGCAATAACTTGGGCACCAGAAGGAAAAAGAAGAATGGGAAGATCAAAAACCACCTGGGGGCCGAACGGTTGAAAAGGAAAGAGCAGAAGCAGGATGGCAATCGTGGGAGGAAGTGAAGACCGTTGCGGGTAATTAAGATAAAAGGATGGACTCCGTGAAGGCCCTATGTGCCACGAGGCACGAAGAGGATAGATGAGATGAGAAGAGTAAGAAAGGAACCCTTCCCTCCTTCCCAGTAAACCAAAACAAACGACAAAGCCTTTCGAAATAAGGGAAAGTCACTGAATCGTTCTTACCTCGCACATACTAATTTTCCCATCCGAATTATCATCGAATTTTTCTAGTATGTACTCCTTAAACTTTTCAACTTCTTCTTGCGATGGTTTCTGAAATAAAAGATCTTAAAAAGTTAAGCTCATAAACAAGTACATGTAAAAACATAGTTTGCAAACTGCCAAGTGTTATAGGCCATTTGCATGATGACGTCATTTTACTACAACCACGAGAATCCTTTAGGATTTTGCTTTCTTGTGCTAATTGTTGGGGTTTTTCTTTAGTATTTTTACTTTAATCCTCATTCAGGGATTACCAAATTTAAACATGAAAGAAAAAAAACGAAATGAACCCAAGTCTCAGTAGTAGAAAGACGTCATTGGCAATAAAACAGCCTATTTTTCCTTTTTTTTTTTGCAAAGAACGCTCACACTTAGCCGAAAGAGACAGTTATCCATCAGACGACTAATTGGTCTAGATTATAAATTCGTAGTACGAATTTAGAGGGATTTGGAGTTTCGATAAAGGGAAAAATAGGTACCAGTTCCCTGAAGTCAAAACTCAATAAAAATCCATCTTTGATTCCGCCTAGATATAGATTTAGAGACAGACGAATTATAAAATTTCTATGAGAAGTGCTGACCAAATTTCGTCTAAACACCGCATTTATATCTAGACGAGTTATCCGTCTTAGACGGATAATTCCTACAAGACGAATAATTTATCTCTAGTATAAATTCGGCCAAATAACGAGTTACAATTTGGCAAGGTTTAACTTGGTGATCATACAATAGCGGGTATAACGTCATAAGAAGCCAAATCTTCAAATCTGGTAGCAGAAATGTGAGATTAAGATTTAATAATGTGCCAAATCAGTGAAGTCTATCATCCATTTTTCAATAAAATCTAAGATGGCGTCGACTTGGCTGATTATTAATTCGTATGACGTCAAGAGTCCACTAAGCAACATAACCTAAATAAATGCACTTTACGTTTTTTCATCCTTTCACTGTCAGTGGACTAATAAGTTTGCATTACTGCGTAAAAATCATAATTCTACTCTATCTGTTTCCCCAAACCAGTAGTTTACGGAAACAGATAAAACAGACTTTGACTAGATTTAATATAATAGATTCAGCTCCCAGACAGTGACAATCAAATCAAAATTTGAAAATAAGTAAATTTCCCTTTTTAAACTTATTAATTCTGAAAGAAAAAACCTTGATTGGATTGAGGTCCAGCAAAAGAGTAATTAAAGCTAGCATTATATCAAGATGTTAGCTATATTAGAAATACTAATATCAAGTGTTAAATAATTTTATATCAGAATTAAAACACATTGAAAAGTCTGCAAAGCTGTTTTTCCTACCGCTTTATGAAATAAAATCATTAAGTAAGTACATTTCATCAGTCTATCTGGTATATGTTCACGAATAACCTCTGTATAATCAGAGAAACAGGTTCGGCAGAAAAATCTCTGGCTGTGTGATATGTCACGAGATAAGTAGTAAGTTTAATTCCTTGATGCCACATGCAGAGGCACCCAACGAAAGTTTTCAAAATATCTGTTCGAAGAAGAAAATATTGCTTAGAATATATTATAACTTGAGAACGACAAACATTTCTGGATGATTATACCATTTATGTACGATTTTCGAAGTCTATCTGATAAATTCCCTATTTTCCCATTTATCATTTTTTCACTTTGCACCCCCTAGGTTAAGGTGTATTTCGAAGTAAAAGGGAAAAACAAAATTTTCGGATTGAAAAATTAGATAAAGAGAAGAATGATAATGAAGAGAGCAACCTTCGTAAGGCCCCAAATTAATATTGCTCTTAAATTTTCGGGAAAATAACCCTAGAACCCTAGGACTCAAGTTGTCCCAATGGATGACCGAATAGATGCCCCTTTATAGCGCTGTTTAAGATGAATTTCTTTGTATCTAAAAGTACTCTGGATAGCTTAGAGAGTGTTTCAACAATGAACAAAAATCTGTGTAGGAGCAAACCGTGCCCCCGCCCTGACATATGAAAGCATTCTGGAATAAAATCGCGCTGACGACCGTTACCTCACCGAGCTGAATCAAATAAATTTCGGACTTCACAGTAACAACAAAATGTCTGTACTTAGATAATTCTAGTGGGTGATGCCACAAAAGAAAGGTCAATGGCATGGCATGGATGAGAGGAGATCATTCCACACTCAGCAAGGTTTAATCCAAGCTAACCCGATTAAAACAATGTCGTGTTTGATTTAGCATTCCATAAAACATGGCTAATGTTTTTTTAATAATTCTGGCCACCTCATTTAGAGTGAATTTCAGAAAGCTTTCCCAACAGACTGTGGAATTTACAGTCCTACTTTCAACTAAAATAAACAAAGAGACCAAAGAGAAAGTTCTATGAGCTTCTTCTTCACTTTAATGAGGATTTTATAAAACTTGCCATTTTAGTGAAACCTTAAAACCACATTGATCATATAACGATCAAACTGACAACATTAACGGCATTTTCTCACATAAAATTTTAAAGGCACCTCAAAACAAGGAACATGTAAACAGAAGCTTTTTTATTTTCTACATGTTTTTTCTGGTTGTAAACTAACATAAGATGTTAGTATTTGGACCTATTTGGCGGAAATGAATGCTTCCCTCATCATACTTCTTGGTGCCTACTAACTTTTGCAAAATCTAATAGCAAAATAATTCATTCCAAAGCAGATTTTAAGAACCACAAGAAAAACAAAAATAAACGAAACAATTTAAGTTTAAACCACGTTATCTAATATTTATAAACTATAGTCTGCATCGACTTTTCTAATGATCACTTTACATTATTTTATGCCATCAACACGTCGCATTTGTGAAATCTATTTCAGAAAGAAACAAGTCTATTTTGTCATCAAAACTACATTTTAGTATTTCAAAAGAATGTCGCTGTTGGTAAGGACTATCTGGCCAGATCAGTCTACATATAAATAGTATAAAGGCAGTCAAGTTTTAATAAAAATTCCAAGAACATCTTGATATTTCAGTTTTAAAATTACCCGTCTGACCGATCATTTCTGTCTTTCGGTTGCCCCGCGCTCTAAAAGAAGTTCGAAGATAAAATCTTCTAATAATGAATACGTTTCTTTCTGTGGGGCCTTTTGAATAATTTTGTGGTCATATTAGAGTAAAATATTAATCACTAACATCACAATTACTATTACCCCAAAGATTAAGAAATGTACTTATTATCTACAAAGGCCGCATTGTTCCAAGAAAGCGAGAATGATTGTTCTGAATAATTTATATGAGTGAGCGTCTTAGATCCTTTTATCCTTTTCTGATATTAATCATCGGGTTTGTTCAGTACTTCACACTTATTCGTTCTAACATTTAAAGGTTCAACAACTTAAAAAAACTGTTTTTTGCCCGCTGTTTGCAGAGATAAGTGAGCATGTTAGGTGGCAATGTAAATAAATATTCGTGATGAGCAGAACTATCAATAAATAATACCCATCGTGGAAAATAACCTCCAATCAGATCGCATGCTTTAATAAAATCTGTGAAGATAAATGTGAAAAGAAATGAAACACCTAGCCTCCTCAGTCGAATATTTGCCTTCGATTAGACTTGAATGGCTCTCGTTAGCAAGTTGTTGTTAACGTAACCAATTCTTCAAATCTTTGGGGTATTAAGCAGAAATGGCTTTCGCAGCAAGATACTACATTATATTGCCAAACAGTTCACGAGTTTTTTTTTTTTAAAAAAAAGGAACCCCTTAAAAGATATCTTCAGCATTACCATGTCTCCTTATGGCGGATGTTTTTAAAAAGCAGCAATACTGTGAACGAAGACGCCATTCAATGTGGGACTGTTACAAGCATCTTGATAGTTATAACGCAAGTTTGGTTTTAAATATTTACATTTCCAAAACAAAACAATTTTTGTGAATATAAAACCTTTTTTTGCAAATAAAATATTCATACTTCAGCTTATTTAAGAACGGAAAATTACGGTGAAAAAATATATTGTATTTATTTGAAATACTTTCACGGGAAATTCAAACAAAAGAACTGATAATTTATCCCAACCTACTTTTTTGTTACAATTTTATGGACTTTGAAATTTGATCTGTATGATCGTATTAAAATAAATCCTTTAATGTATTCGTCATATACTACGATCCAGCTTCAAAAATATAACATTGTTTTTAAAAATGATACTGAGAAACCAACGATATATAATTTTAAGAAGAAAACGGGCCTGTTTGAATTTTGTTCATACATCGTGTTTTTGAGAGTTATCCTTTATAAGAAATATCACGTTGAAGCAAATTTTGGTTGCCATTAGGTACCGCTTGTTCGCCAATATTCAACCCTTTTCTTTTGTGCATAGAGTATTTATATTTACCTCATTTCCCGTTTCTTGCAGAAGGGTTATCATAAACGAGTTCAATTCGTCAGCCTCGATATAACCATTCCCTGGATAAGGAAATATGTACATACTGGCTTAAATGAAACTCTGATGTGTTTCGCTAGTCAGTCAAGCAGCGATTTAAGTATAAGCTACTGAGATTTCGCGTGTAAAATCTTACCGTCCTTGTCGAATTCCTTGAAGACTTTAACAAATTCTTCAGAGGTGAGTTTTACGTCGCTCTGAAATTGCAGCATACAAGGTGATTTACCGGCTTCCATTTTGCTGGCCCACAAGATCAAAATAACATAGACAATGAATACAACCCGGCTTTAATACTCACCAGAGGTTACGAGCATGCGTACATTACGCAAGCTCGCCTAATGATAATATTCAAATTTGAGTCTACGGGCGTAAAACAGGTGTATAATGTGTTTAAGAAACAAAGAACCCAAACAAAGAGCAGTGAAAAAATATTTCGCCGCCGGCTGAATGTTATTTGTGGCCCAACGTAAGAAATATCAGTATTGGTTCATAGGATTTGTAGGTCAATTTTTTGGGTAACGCCACATCAATATGGTCTCTCATGCCGCCAAGCGGCGGTCACAAGATAAAACAAGAATCAAGTGAACTTTGTTTGGAATCGAATGCAAATCAGATATGTAAATTAGTCCATCGACGAGCTACTTCACGCAAAACAAAACAAATGTTTCAAGGACGTCTTTAAAAACAAGATATTTAGTCACATCTTTCTGCGGATTATCCCATGCGGGTAAAATACCGTGTATTTATGGGTTTATATTAATTATGACATTCGATCGTTTTTCCTCTGCATGAAATCATTTATATCATTGATGAGTTCTAAATTAAGGTTTTGCTGTCATGTGACTACTTGGAAACGAAAATTTAGCCTTCAGATTTTATAGAATCGAAATCCGAGCTCGCTTATCCTTTAAGATATTTTCCCTCGCTGATATTTTTTACGGTCAAAATGTCAAAGAAGGAAAGAGAAGCATTCGTTGATCATCTATGTTGGTTGCTTAAAAGTCAATTTTCAAATAAATATTCCGAAATAAATCTAAGCGCGCATTTGAACAGGTCTGTAAATTCAGTTTATCTTGAGGAACGTAGGTGAATGGGTACCTCCCTGGCGAAAATAACTCATCTATCTCAACTAATCGAAAGGAGATTCAACTTTACATTCACTATCTTTTGGAGATCTCCAACACCGTGTTACGAGAAAACATAAATGAGATAAACTAAAACCACAATAACCCTATGCCCCTCTTCAAATTTGAAGCGTTGAAATAATATATTTAATTATTCTTACTACAAGAAAGGGTTTTCCCCGTGATTTAGATATAAACTCTCTTCATTTATATTTATTTATATTTATATCCCTGAATCGCAAAATATACTATGCATACAAATCTTTTTGACAATGAAGAACGTATTGCCGGTGAAAGGAGAAAAAAGGCGGGGGGGAGGGGAGGAGAAGAATTGATTACTTACACCACCAAGGGCTATAAGTAGGAATTCACTTACACGACAACAAGCAAAAGCAGGATCACCCATGACTATTTTAGCAGTCGCGACTGAAATAACATTATTGCAAGAGAAATTAAATTTACCTCGATTCTGTATTGGTAAGTTTTTTTTTTTTTTTTTTTTTTTACT